TTCATCAATAAAAATCAGACGTAGTGATGATAATACATGGCGCGGGATACGCGCGTTTCCGCATCTCCCTATTTTTAACGTTGATCGAAGAGCTAGAATTAATAAACCGAGCATGTCCTCAATATCCGGCTACATAAACTATAGCATATACCACACACACGCACGCGCGCGCTCGCACGCACGCACGCACGCACACACACGTACACACACTCGCGCGCGCATGCACACCGATAGAGAGAGGGGAGAATAGATTGTGTGTCTTCCTGTGCGCATGCGAGAGAGGGAGGTAATGGGTCGGTGAGAGTCGTGTAGGGGAAAGGGGGAAGATGGGGGAGGCGAGGGCCGGGAAGACAGGAAAGTGGCAGGGAAGGAATTGTGTCTGCACTTCCATTCCCGTTTAATCGCTTACATGCGTCATAGTAACCACCCCTTTCCAAATGCAACTTCTGAGAGTAATTAATCTTCTTTTGCTTGGGATGGTTGTTGCAAGTTTAGCCACAGAACAAGCCACTCAATACTAAATTGAAATCGCTGACAGTGATCGAAACTGTCGTGAAGGTACGTTAAAAATTATGATATATTTCAATATGAACCAGTTTACAGTTATCAACTAAATATCCGATAAATTTATTTCAATCACTAAATTGAAGTATTTGAACATCTTAACACTATTGCATCTATCTGATTTTTTCTCCATGAATAAGACTGTTTCGGTACATGTACTCGTGTTTAATTTACAGGCAATGAATTATAAATATATATACTGCAGCAGCATTATATGGTATATCGATCGCCTTCCACCAATTTTTATTGCATCTATAACGTAAAGCAGCAAGTCCAGTGAAGTACCTAAATTTGCATTTTCAGCAGACGGCGCATACAAGCCCCCAGGTGAAAAACTGTCAGCGCACATTATTACCATGTCTTACGGTATACACTTGAATCTCACGCATATACTCTGGATAGCGTCTCCATTCCCTTTCGGATTTGCGTTGCTGTCCGCTTCCAAAAGATGGAGCTACGTACGCAGCTTTTATTGCGAATGACATCATGTTCTACTCCAAAGCGACGAGGGAACTTGATTGGCTAGAAATGACATCATAGATGTTTGTGTCTATTTTTAGAGCAAATATTGCACAACTATATCCAGCCATGTGTTTGCTGTCGTGCAGTTGCATAGAGCACGTCGAAGGAGCAGTATCGCAGTGTGAGTGTGGGAGGCAGCCAGAGTTGGAAGGCAGGTAGTTGGTAAGTGTAAGGCATGCGGTGCATTATTTGTAAACTGCATATCATAAAAGATAAACAGCAAATGTTGGAGGAAAGCTAAACGGGAACGTACATCGTACAAATCACGTGTATAGCGCTTGCTCCGCAACCCGTATAGCTCCAAGAAACGGTATTGCTAATCACTTTGTATTACAATGTATACTTGTAGTTGTATTATACTTTGTAATAGACAATCAGTCGCACAGCCTCGTCGGGCTAAACCCGTGCTGCACTGTGCAGTGTACTGTCGTGTGCAGTACTGGTTAGTTCTAAGTTCTAAACTCTTCTCCTCGTCTACACGACGACGCTTAACTCGAGTTAAGCGTTAACTCGAGTTAGCGATAATTGTAGCGTCTACACGACAACACCCGATAGCGATTATTTAATAGTATCTACATTGATTTGCAGAGCCAACTGCCCATCCCCATGCTAGCTTTGCCAATGAACCAGCATCTAATGATTTATACCATTGAATAACCAGTGTCAAGTCCTGGCAAGGTCAATGAAAATAACATACACATGCACCTCATTGTTATTTGGCAACATACGACGACCTTATAGTTGATCTATCTTGGTTCATTTTTACTCAACCGTGTTGATTCAAAACGTACTGCTGACGTTTCGCCTCCTATCAGGAAGCTTTCTCAAAGCTGACTGAAGTTATCAGTTTTAACCACCAGATGTCCCAGATAACATGCTGACGTTGGGCCAACATTAGCCCAACAGCTGTCTTCAGCCCATGCCAACGTTGGGCCAACGGATTTTTGCTCAGCGTGCCAACGTTGGCCAAACGTCATGCAGCCAACCATTTGCAAGTAGCATCATGCCAACCATATGCCAACGTTGGCCCAACGTCATGCAGCCAACCACTTGCCAACCTTGACCATGCCAACCATATGCCAACGTTGGCCCACGTCATGTAGTGGTCAACAGCTTGGTCCACACGTGACTGAGTCTGTATCACCCCTCGTCACGGTTGATGTTCGGGGTTGTGCAGGTCTAGATGGCTTCCTTAATCCAGTGCCTGATTTTGATTGGCTCGCGATCGATGATCTTCTAATTATCCCAATCGATGGTGTGATAGGCAGTCGCTATGTGGTATGTGATCGCGGATTTGGTTATTTCGGTAGCAGACTGTTTTTGTTGGGCCCTTGTGAAAGATCTGGTACATTCCAATGATGAACACAACACCTCAACAGCATCGACAGTACCAACAACATCAAATTGATGTTCGAGGAAGAACTAGATACAAAAATTTCGTTCCTCGATACACTCATTCATAAACGAGAAGATGGTTCATTAAAACTGACTGTGTATAAGAAAAAGTCCCAAGCGGACCAGTACTTAAACATCAACCCACACCATACAGTCAACTACAAACTGTCAGTGGTACGGATGCTATTTGATCGTAGGGATAAGATCATAACGGAGAGTGAGGACCGGGAAGCTGAAGCGCGCCACATCAAGGACGCGCTAGGTAAATGCGGCTACCCCAATTGGGCACTCGACAAAGTGTCCAAAGAAATTAACACTTCACGGGTCCAATCAACATCCTATAAGAAAACCTCCCCCGAGAAACCGAAGGCGATGATTGTCCTACCATATGTCAGAGGCGTCACGGACGTAGTTCAACAGCAATTAAAAAATGCAGGCGTGGCTTCAACAGTTAGACCGCTTGAGACCTTAAAACATTTAGTACACCGTAAGGACAGAACAGATATACACAACATTACAGACAAGTGTCTACAAAATACTGTGTGCAATGTGTGAAAAAAGTTATATTGGAGAAACCGGCCGCAAATTTGAAACCCGCCTTAAAGAACATAAAAAGGGTGTACACACCGTAGCTCCCAAATCTTTCACAAGGGCCCAACGAAAACAGTCTGCTACCGAAATAACCAAATCCGCGATCACGGACCATGTAGCGACCGCCAATCACACTATCGATTGGGAGAATTCAAAAATTATCGATCGCGAGCCAATCAAAATCAGGCGCTAGATTAAGGAAGGCATATGGATCCACAAGACCCCAAACATCAACCGTGATGAGGGGGGATACAGACTCAGTCACGTGTGGACCAAGCTGTTGACCACTACACCATCTGGTTGTCAATACTGATAACTTCAGTTAGCTTTGAGAAAGCCTCCTGATAGGAGGCGAAACGTCAGCAGTATGGATTGAATGAACAAGGTTGAGTAAAAATTAACCAAGATAGATCTATTATCAAAAGCGTATAAAGAAGGAGAGTGTACAACAGTACTGCTCATGAAACTATGTTGCAGTATTAGTCGAATTAATAAACTTTCCCCGTTTTATTTGGACGATTTTTTGCAGTATTATTGAGGATCAACATGTATGTGTATATAACAGCTGGCTCGCTGCTGGCTGCTGCTGACTGGACGCCCTAA